TGCTGTACTGACTCTCCATTAATATGAATGATGCCTTCCACTGAATGCAGTCGTATTAAGTATTTCAGGTGCAGTGTAGCAAGGCTCTGAATAGTTACGTCAAAGTGACCATTAAAAATGCAGCACTGCACGATAAAAACTGCTGCTGGAACAGGGAAATAGAAGTCTCTGCATCTGCATTTCAAACTAAGCCTTTTCTTTTCCACGCCAAAAATACGTCTATTGACCAAGATATCGATTTAATACGAGAGGATTTTGAGTAGTTTGAATTTCCCTATAGATCAGAGCTGGTTATAAAATATATTCCCCTGCAATTACCTTGAAACACATTTACCACAAGCTTCATTCCCAGCACAGTGAAAATCACTGCAGAATAACAACAAAGATGTAGGGAAGTCATATAGGCTTCCCAGAATCTGTTATTAAAATACCAAATACTGAGTCTGCTTCATTCAGACATCTTCCTGTTAATGCTAGAGTACAATGAATTCCTACCCCACAGCAACAGTGACTTGCAAAAAAAAGAGCAACAGTTTAAACAAATAGTTTGTGTTTTACAGAGGGAGCAAGCAGATTTCTTCATTCTTCAGATGGCAAAAACTAAGGCACTACAAAGGTGACTGACATTTACAGAAAATTAGGGTTGGAAGGGACCTCAGGAGGCCTTTCAGTCCAACCCCCTGCTCAAAGGATCAGCCCTAACTATATCATCCAAGCCAAGGTTTTGTCTAGCCACGTCTTAAAAACCTCCAAGGACGGAGATTCCACCACCTCTCTGGGTAACCTGTTCCAGTGCTTCGCTACCATCCGCGTGAGAGTTTTTCCAATATCAAACCTAAATTTGCCTTGCTGAAACTTGAAACCATTGCTCCTTGTTCTGTCATCTGCCAACTACTGAGAACAGTCTAGCTCCATCCTCTTTGAAACCACCCTTCAGGGAGTTGAAGTCTACTATTAAACACCTCCCTCGGTCTTCTCTTCCCGACTAAATAAGCCCAGTTCCCTCAGCTTCTCCTTAAAAGTCACATGCCCCAGCCCCCAAACTATTATTGTTGCTCTCTGCTGGACTCTCTCCAATTTGTCCACATTGTTTCTGTAGCGTGGGGCCCAAAACTGGACACAGTACTCCAGACATGGCCTCACCAGTGCCAAATAGAGGGGAAGAATCACTATTCTCAATCTACAACATCCTACTAACGACTGTATGTCGTTAGCCTTCTTCGCAATAAGAGCATACTGTCGGCACATAGTCAGCTTATTGCCCAGTTTATTATCCATCAGGGTCCTTTTCTGCAGAGCTGCTGCTTAGCTAGTCAGTCCCCAGCCCATCCTACGTGTAGGACTTTGAACTTGCCCTTACTGAATGTTATGAGATTTCTTTTGGTCCAATCCTCCCGTTTGTCCAGGTCTCTCTGAATCTTAGCCCTACCCTGCAGTGTATCTGCTACTCCCCCCAGCTTAGTGTCATCTGCAGACTTGGTGAGGGTCTACTCCCCCACATCTTCCAGGTTGCTAATGAAGGTCACAAGTGTTAGAGTTTGTATTAGAACCCAGAGTCTGGACTTCCAGCCTCATGCCCAACAACTCTCAACCTTATTAGACTCAAACCACCCCCTGGAAAATGCCCGCTCTTAGCTTTCAATTGTTTTTTCACTATGGAAAACCAATAGAGCAATTCTTCTGTTACAAAGGACTCAAAGCCCACAACATGTCCATATACTATAGGTCCATGGACCTAGTCTCCCCTCAGTGACACTCCATTGCCTACAGTGGGTTTACATAGGTAGAAGATGTTAAGAGTTAGTCTTAAGTATCGGCTGGGAACAGTAAAGCATCTGCTCAGCTGATTTTCTGAAGCTTTTGATGTTACTATCTCTTTCTCCATCCTTAGTCCCCATTCTCTCCCTCCTAACAAGCTCTGAATCCTTCCGTCTTTGGCATCACCCACTCCTTTTCCCATACTCCCTTCACTGCCTTTCCCCCAATGACAGAAGTAAAACCTTCTCTGTGGAGCAAGCAATGCAGACACCCCTAGGCCCATCATGGGCACCCCTGAGCACCGTTAGCCCTTGAACTCTCCTACATTCAGGGATGCAGGCAGCTGAAGACACCATGAGACAAGAGTGTTGCAGAGTTAGGCCCTACATGGCAGAGTTACTCTGTTCTGGCATCTTACAGCTGTGGCCCCCAGGGAGAAAGGGTATCTGCCAGCAATGCTGCAGTCAGAAAGCCCATAGGAACTGCCCTCTTCTGGAGCATACAACCAGGTGTTATGTAGGAGTGAAGACTCCCCAGTCCCTTCGGCTCTGCCACCTCCAACTGCAGTGGTTCTCAACCTTGTTAGACTCAAGGCATCCCTTAGAAAATGCCAGCACTTAGCTTTCGCTCAGAGAGACCATAACAGAATGAATGTTTTTAACGCTATGAATTTCTGTCTGCAAGCTGTAAGTTTATTTTGTGAATAATGTTTGCACACTTAATAGTGCATGGCACGGCACCCTGCAGCATCCCTGAAAGGCTCTCAAAGCACCCCAGCATGCCACAGCATCCTAGCTGAGAACCACCTTCCTACTGCAACCTCAGGGCTGGAGCAGCAAACCCCGCTTCGCAGGGCAAGGCCATAAGACCTGTGTAATCACAGGGCACTCCTCCACCTTGCACCACCTCTTCTCTACCACCATCTGACATTTCTGGTACAGTGGTTCAGAGGGACCTTGTAGGAAGAGCACCCTGCGAGGAGAAGGGACGCCTCAGCCCCCCTTGGCACAGTGCCCAAATGCTGTTTGCTCTTCTCCATGGACAGAGGCGAGCTCCTTGCCACAGAGAAGAGGCAGGAGGAGACCCTAAGTTCATATAATCTATATGAACAGAAGATGATGAAATCTGGCCCTAAAAATTAATTGTAGCTGAATGGTAGTGTAAGAGTGATGTTGTAGCCATGATGGTCCAGAAAGTATGCAAGAGGCAAGGCTTTCTTAGGGTGACATCTTATTGGAGACAGAACGTCTTGCATTTGGAAACTTGTCTAACTTTCTCCCAACTATACAGTTGGTCCTCAAAAAACAGAAAAAAAAAAAATCACCCTAAGAAATCCTTGCCTCTTGTCACTAAACTGCATTCTCTTGGTAGCTGTCCAGCCCCAAGCAGCAGAGAAAGAAGGAACTGAATGAAGAGGAGCATGAAAGGGCAACAGGAAACAAAAGAGGAAGAAGAACATGGGAAAAGAAGTATGTCTAGGCCAAAATTAAATAAAACCAGGAAGTTATTTAAAGTATTTGGCATCCACAAGCAAAGACAGCTTTTACAAAGAGCTCAGCACCAGCAAAGTGACCAAACAGAAAGTACGTAGAGGCTGAAAACACAAATTCCATGTTGTGAAGGGTGTTCAGTATTTGGAAGTTGCTTTTCTTCCACCAAAAAAGAAAAACAAGATCTCTTAGACATTCCCTTGCAATGTGAAAAACCATAGTTTAAGTCTCTTTAAATCCAATTCCTACATTACAGCAAGAGTCCTAATCCCCAAATTAACAGCCAAGCTAGAGTGAGGGTCTCATCCTCTCATTTCATTTGCTTTGACCTGGTATTCCATCCCATACCTAAAAAAACCTCCTCCAACCAACACCGTATTTATGTTTCCAAAACAAAGTCAGCACTCCCTCCCCTCATATTCCTCTCATTTAACATGAGAGGAAAAGTCCCTTATCTTGGAACTGAGTGAGAGGTGGCAGAGGGGTGGGAGGCAGACAGCTGCTGTGTCTCTGGCTGCTGACTGTCCTCCTACTGCTGCTGTTATTTTCCTGCCTGCCTGCCACAGCCTCCAGCTCCAGGCCTCTCTCCCAGCCTCAGCCTTTTCCAACTAAAAAGAATTTACAACCAGTCTTGGAGCCAAGGACTTGAGAAATCTGGTGGTGATTCTCATTTATGCATCCTGGAACCCCACACATTATAGATAGAAATGATCAGCCCATCCCTGTCTTTTCTTCCTACCACTAAGCTATTCCCCAGTGCTTTGCCCAGAGAAGCTTTAGAAGGCCCAAATGAAGTTGTGTTATCCTGTGAGTGGGTTACACAGCTTACAAAGAGAATGCATGCCTTTCATCATGTCCTGCTCTCAGAGAGAGCCCTATCAAAAAGTTTCAGCATGGTCTGCAAGGACTTCCTCAGTTATTCAAATGCCGTACAGCCTGCAGTATCGCTGCAGACTGCTGCATATCTCATTTTATATGGTGGGCTCTGAAGTGTGAAATAGGACTGCACAATCTGAATAGAGTCTTTATAGCTTCCCCCCCTGTATTCACAGACCTGCCTAAGGACTCGCATAGTCCTGGCTGCACTGTCTGAGGAACCTTAGCTTCTACCTGGTAAACTACTTTTATAAGTCAATAAAAATGTGCTTAAAAAATAAAAATCAGGAAAGGGAATCCCAATAGCTTTATGTTCCCTTAGAAATCAAATAGCATCTGCAGTGCCCACATCCGTGCCTGCAGAGTTTGATGGGAATTGCCTTATTTCCACATGCATACACCCATAAAATAATAATAATGCCTGAACTGCCACAGCATATAAACTACGTTGTTAAAAAAAGCCTATGGAAATCTATTCAGCTTCAGTTGAAGGGCTACCCTTTAAAAAAAGCAACATTAAGGGCTATCACATTTAAGCTACAAGGTTGCTACTTCTCATATTCAAGTGGTATAGAAACAAAGGAGGAATTAGTTTCAGTGAAACTATTAATGGGCTTGCTGAAATAAGCCCAATTCAATCAGGTGGCCCACTGATAGTAGCAGTAATGATTGTTCTCAAAGGTCATAGATACAGTCACTTAGGGCTACCAGCTGTGCAACGCTACGAATTGTTTATTGCAAATTCTTATTATTCTCAGACATTTTTTAACTTGTGGAGATAAGCACTTACAAAATGCTCAGCTTTGAAGGCTAGTCTCCTACCAGCAGACATCAACCCAACCATGGCATCAGCATTTCAACAGAAAAGAAACGTACCTCTGCGTCAGATATGGAGACCCGATTAGACTCTATTGTTGGTCTCCTCACTATCCGTGGTGAGGGTCCTGTTGCATAAGGACCATATCCTGGGGCATTGGTAGAACCCAGGAAGCTTCCTGTAGCTCTTTCTTGAAGAGACAACTTCCTACTGGAGAGAACAGGTCTTGTGGGACCTCTCTTGGGAACATTCATTTGGTTGGCATCATCATCTTCCTGGGAAGGTAAAGATTCATTTGTTCCTGTATCACTGTTGACCCCATTCCTCTGGATGTTTTTTACATTATCTGAAAAGACTGCGTCATTCTGCTCTCCTGCTTCTTGAGAATTTTGGTCACTTATATCAGGGCCAACAGCCACATCTATAGCTGCTACTCTCTCTGCCAGTTCTGTCTGCGTGTCTCTGCAGCATGTACCTGCACACCCATCCATCACGTCAGCTGGAGAATCTCCCATGATTATGCCTGATGCTCAAGGTCTCAGATGACACCAAAGACAGCTGCGGTGTCAGGGATCACAGGAAACATGTGGCATGAAAGAATCTCTCCGCTGGGTTCTCTAGAAAAAAAATACAATGAGAAATCCTAAGCAAAGGTACGGCCAACACGTCTTGCAGCAGGCACATGAGAAAAAAAAAATCAGAGAAAAACCAGGCAGCTGGTTAAAAACATCCAGAAGGAAAAGTAAAACCAACCCCAAAACTAGTTACAAAACATTTACAAAGGGTACAGGAAGGATTTTATCTGCCCAGCTACAAGTCAGCTACGAGTACCTTCTGCTTTCTGTATCTAGATCAACAGAAAATAATTTTACGATAAAAGGAAAGAGAAAATTACTGGAGTCCCTCAGAACAACTGTGAAGGGATAAAAGATCAAACACGTGACCTCACTTGAAATATCATTTCTAGAGTACGGCAGCACAGAACACAGGTCAGAAAACAACACTGAACAAACCATCCTTAACCACCCCTGCCTTTGTGTCACTACACTGCCCTTCATGGCTCCTGGGGGCTTCCCAGCAAGAGTTTGGGGACATATCTCACATCATCCTGCTGAGAAAAAAAGCTTTTTCATGTGCCCTGAAAAGAATTCCCCTTTGATCTCAGCAGTATTCCTGCCCAGAGCAGGGGGGTTGGACTTGATGATCTTTTGAGGTCCCTTCCAGCCCTTAATTTCTATGATCAGCAGTACAAAGATCACTTGGGATGGGCCTCAACCTTCTCCATGCTGGGCCTGGGAAAGCCGCCAAAAACCATGCTCCACCTCTTGCCCCAGCATACACCAAAACCAGAATTGAGGCTACAAAGTCAGCTTAAAAGCAGCCCTGAGCATGCGACTAAGAGCTATTCTCAAACTCCCCTGTCTCAGGCAAGTACCTGTCTCAGCTGTTGGATCTGGCATGCAATGAGAGGTTGCAGAGCATGCCTCTTGGCAGCAGCTGGAGCACCACAGGGAGACAAGGCAGGTATGGTCTGTGAGGCTGTTGCATACACACAGTTTTCTTTGCAATAGAATTAACGGCAAAGTGAAGTTAGAGAAGGCATTTAAGGATGTGGTTTCAGTGGGCATAATGGCGTCAACAGTACATGAGCAGCTGTGTTGCTGGCCAAAATATTCTGAGAAGCTGATAATAAAATACCATGGAATGCCCTTAGCCACGTGAAATTCACAGACAGATGGGTATATCAGCCGACACACCGGTCACCTGTGGCTATAAAAAGTGCTAAAGGAGGTCTGGAACAGGATGGAGACTTTTTTTTTTTACGCATTCAATTAAATAAGATTTTTTGAGTTCATTAAAATCAAAACATACTAATCCTTTAAAAATAAAACCATATAAAGTCATATTTGAAATTATGATCATGTTTGTTACTAGTTTAATTTTAAATTCTTTTAATAAATTATAGTAAATGTAAGCAAAATATGCAAGTGGCAGGCCATATGTTTGATGCTAATGTCGTAAGGAAAAATCAAACTACTGGAGCAACAAAAGTCACTGGCTAGGTACCTGCAACTAAGGTTTGTTGCGCTGCTAATCCAGTTTGGTAGCAATGGCCTCTCTTGCAGGGACAGAAAGAACATTTGCATCATTTCAGTTTATTCTGTTAGCTCAGTTAAAATGACTGGGTCGTTCAAATTTAAGAAAGCAAATGACAAATGAAAAAAAACAGGGAACTTGTTTCTCTTCCCATCTATGACTACACAAAATATGAAGTCTACTGGTTCTGAAAACTTGAAGCACGTAGGGACCAGAAACAATCAATCAATTCATTAACTACAGACAATACGTCCTTTGTGTAATAAATCCACCTGAAATGCAAAATGTATTTCGATAAACTTTTTTGCTTGTGTCCAAAACATTTAAGATAGCTTTATTTATGGAACTAAGAAAAAAACAGTGCCATGAAAACGCTGCTTGAGTATTCATTGCCTTCCAACTTCTATCCATATACAGCTTGATACAAAATCGAAAGTGAAAAAAAACCAAACCATTTAGTTAAAAATAAATCCACCATTCACCATTTTCCAGCAGAAAAATATTAATACTAAGAATCTGAATAAATGCATCTTAAGCTACATAATTGCTTAAATAAATGTGTATAGATATAAATGGGATAGAGAAAGGATATATTTAGTTGCAAATCAACGCCTTTTAATGATCATCAACCACAGAGAATCAACCTTTCCTTAGGAAAATAACTAAAAAATAAAAATGCAAAACGAGATTAAAACTGATTATTGAAATCAAGGTTGCCTACTTGCTGATTTAAATCCTGATTAAAAGCCATGCTTTTAAATCAATCCACCCTGGTCCAGAATAGGAAACAATCATATGCAGCCTACAGCTGTCTTCTACTAATCACCTCAAAAAATGCGGGGCTGCTACATGTACAATTGAATCCCATTACGTGAATTTTTATCCGATTAATTCTAACACGTATCTGTTAGGGTACCAGCACCCTGGACTGTGTCCAGTGATGTACAACGCGACTGCGACAGCAGCTTGCTTTGATCTTTTACACTGAAGTCAAGTTGTTTATTATTAATTACACACTGGCCCCAATTCTGACATTACCTACATCAATACCACACTACCTTCAGTGGTGTTATCCCCAATTTACGCCAGTGCTAAGGGAGATCAGCATTATGCCCACTGCTTTCAGTAAAGGCACTCACAAGGCTTTACTGTACTGTTCTCAGTGTGGATTCTGTGCCCTAGTCAGGGGCAGCTCCTGGCCCGAAGCATCTAAAAATGCTCAATTAAAATTAACGAAGCTGAATCCTGCTATGAAGAGGCTACAAGGACGGGTTAAAAACACAAACTTCTCCCCACTCTTCTCCCCTGCCCGGCTATACACATGCGTTTAAGATTGATTTCTTAACGCCTCTATACCCATACAATCTAAGGATTTCAGTGGGGCTGCAAGGGTGTAAAGGAGGGCAGGACAAGGACCACAGTCTTAACTCTGCAACAACAGCAGGGAATCAACAAGTTGGAATAAGCCCTTCTTTTGCAGTCTTACTCTCTCACTTCCCATGTATGGTCACACACCCCTACTCCCAAAACACATACACACAGCCAGTCTTTTTGTAATTTTGTTTTAAGAAATGTGACAAAGATGTCAGTCACTTGAAAGTGTAATTAAATAGAAAGCTCAATTTTAAATATAGTTTGAACAAGCTTTTAAACGCTTGTCACAAAGCATGAATCTCTTTAAGAACAAGGATGGAAAAGGAAGGGAGAACGGCAAGAATAATGCTTTGAACAGCTGGGTTGTTTGGCGCATACTTCAGCAGCTACTTCAGTAACCACGAATCCCCTAAAGAGCCCCATGAAAACTAACTAGGTCCTGCCACCACTTTATGTTCCAGCATTTCTGACACTATATTCAGGTTCATCCACTGAATCACTGGAAAAATAGGGCTGGCAGGGCCCTCAGTAGGTCATCTACTCGAAACGAGGGACGTGTGCGCAACGCACTTTAAAGGGGCTAAATGCTTTTGCAACACTTACATGGTGCTGGTGTTTGCATCAGTTCCAGCCGCTGTAGGAAATTTGGTTGGCGTAATGCACCTTAAATGAATTGGAGTGCAGCAGACTAAAATGCTTCTGAGGAGTTGTAGTTTGCTGCCCTTACAGCTGCGGAGCGAAGCGCTGGGCTCTGTGCAGCTAAGGGGCTCTGCAGGAAGCCCTGCAGGCAGCCTAGCAGCAGTCTGGGAAAGCAAGCTCTGCTCAAGAAGAGTGGAGAGTCTGATCTTTTTTTTTCCCCCGCCCTGGAGCCTGCCTGCCTGAACTGTGCAGGGGCCTGGTGCTTCCCTCCATGGCTGTGGTGCCCCCCCAGGCTGCTGCCTGGGGAGTGGGGGCCGCTGCTGCCGTGGAGGGAAGCACCAGCCCTTCCCAGCCTCGCAGCCCAGGGACCTCTCTGCCCGCCAGCAGCTCACCTTCCTCTCCCTGCTGGAGGCAGGTAAGTCAGCAGGACGTGTGCACAAGATGGGGATTTAAAGGGCCCTAAATCGAGGCAGTGCTTTTTTAAAACCCACCGCTTCAATTTAGGGCCCCCATTTCATCTACACATGCCCTAGCAGTCCATGCCCTGCTAAAGGCAGGATCACCCACTGTCTAAACCAGGGGTGGGCAATTATTTCGGGCAGAGGGCTTACTGAGTTTTGGCAAGCCATCGAGGGCTTCATGACAGGCAGCTGGGGGCAGATAAATATTAATTTTCTAAATTTTTTAGGGGCCCCGCGGGCCAGATAGAATGGCCTGGTGGGCCGCATCTGGCCCTCAGCCCCATTTTGCCCACCCCGGTCTAAACCAACCTAGCCAAGTGTTTACCTAACCTGCTCTTAAAAAACAATGATAGAAATCTGTTCCAGTGCTTAACCACGCTCATAGTTAGAGAGTTCTTGATAATATCCTAATTAAATTGCCCTTTTTGAATTGTCAGACTATTCCTTCTTGTCCTATCTCCTGTAGACACAGAGACTAGTCTATCATCATCGCTCCCTTTTGCATACTTGGAGGCTGTTACCGAGTACTTCCTCAGTCTTCTGTTCTCCAAGCTAAAGAATCCGAGTTCCTACACCCTTTCATCATTTTGTTATGCTTCCTAGATCACTGATTGTTTTTTTGCTCTCCACAGGGCTATTTCCCATGGATTAGTGCTGCAAAGAAAGAGCCAGAGCTATCCCACATGCAGCCTATTAGCAGTAGCTACCATTTCTCCATCCAAATATGTCTACCCACAGCTTTTCAGGATTCTGGTTTTGACCTTCACTTTTGAATCATGAACATGAAAAATACTACTTAATCTGATTTACAAAAGGTTAGAGAGCATAGTTAATCACTCTCCCAGAACACCAACTGATTCCATCCTCTATAGGGAATCAGTCTTTAGGGAACTGAACCTCATTTTTATTTTCTTGTTAAAAAGAAATACAGTCATTCCAAATACAGCCCACTCCCTTTCAGAGATACCAGCACGGTCATTTACAATTTGCCTTATTGCCTAAGCAATATGAAATAAAAAGCAGCAAATCCACAGCAGTACTTGGCAAAGCTTTTTCTAGGACTGTTTCTTTAGAGTCTGAGGCATCTACTTGTGTTGCTGTGTGGCTAGCAGATAAGAACACGTAAATTGTCTGTCTGGAGTAAATAGCTCGGTCACATACAGCGATTCTCTGGGGTGCCTTGCGTTCCTTTTCAAGGGTGCCACGCAACATTAATAGAATCAC